CCCTTGCCGGGGAGTTGCAATACCTTCTCCGCTGTCTGGGTGAGGAGGTAGAGGTCCTCAGCGCCGGAGTCTTCCCCAAAGTAGGTCTCCGCCTTAGGACGAGCTGCCTTGGAGTGGCAGGCCTTTGCGATGTGGCCCGTGCGGCCGCAGTTGTGGCATGTGGCGTTGCGGAACCTGCAGGTCTTGCGGTCGTGCGGTTCCCCGCAGCTGGCATACGCGGACGTGCTGGGAAGCTGGCGGCCGGTGCTCGGGTGTGGCGCTTGAGTGCGGTGCGGTGCTTGGGTGCGTTGCAGTGCTTGAGTGCGCTGCGGCGCTTGAGTACGCTGCCGGGCCCCTCTGTAGGCCTGGTGGACGTCTTCTTCCTCGGAGTCTCCGTCGGGGAGTACTTGGTGCGCTGCCGAGGTTTGGCGATGGGAGTCCTCGTGCGCGATGGCGAGTTGAAGGGCCGCCTCTAGTTTGATGTCAGCGGTCCCTACCATCTTCCTCCGCAGTTTGAGGTCGCTGAGGCCCCACGCGAACTGCGTGAGCAGGTTCTCCTCCACCTTGGTGAAGGAGCAGTCCATCGCCAGCTGGCGCAGGGCGGCCATAAAGGCTGCGGCCGACTCGCCCGATTTCTGCACGCGGGCCTGAAAAGCCAGTCGCCTTGCTAGCGTTGTCGGCCGCGGCATGAGGTACCTGGTGAGGGTGTCGATGATCTCCTCGTAGGTACATTCCAGGATGGACCGGGGCGCGAGGAGGCTTTTGGCGAGACGGACCGTCGCCACCCCACAGGAGCTCAGGAGCAGCGCCCGTCTCTTGCCGGCGTTGGTGACCTCGTTGTACTCGAGGTGGCATGTCAGCTGGTCGGTCCACGAGTCCCAGAGTTCAGGTTGGGCGGGATCGAAGATCTCCAGGTTCCCACAGTTGGAGGTCATGGCGTAGCGGTAGCGCGGGGCTTAGGTTCTCTGTAGCGGTGCGTGGTGCGGTGCGGCTGGTGCGCGATGTGGGGTGCGGCGTAGCAGAAACGGAGCTTAGCGTGCGCTGGTGTGAGCCAGGCCAGACTCAGCGGCATCCCACCTTCGTCGCCACTGTTATGTATGGTTAAACGACCGACGACGACGTGGTGCATGGCACGCTTTATTTGGTACACAACAAGAACAAGGAACAAACGGCCGGCAGGCCAACTATACACACACCTGGGGACACACCCCTGGTCACCATTGGTGGGTTTGAATCTCCCGCCATGGTTCCCATTGGTTCCCCAGTGGAGGGACTAGGAGCCTAGTCCCTATTGTTCTTCCAGAGCCAAGCTCTGGCTGTTCGCTGGCCCCCGGTGGTGGTCAGCATACACTACAGCCACTGTACCCATTTGCCCCCCAGTAAAATTTTATTGCTATGGGCTTGGGTAACTGAGTAAAGAACTCACCTTCCTTCCTTCCTGACTTTGAGGAGGAAAGGCAGGAGAGAGAAAATTCACTGGCTTTTCAAAGATATGAAAATATTTGAGCGAGTCTTCCCCGTCTGGCTGTTGCCTCTGGCCAAATAATTTTTGACAGCATTTGAAACAGTGCAAAACAAACAAACAAAAACTGTTTACCAGAGGTGAGTGTGGAGTGAGTGTATACACCAAAAGCATCTATCATTCTTTCAAACTATATTCAGTTCCATGCAAAATCTATGGTCTGTCTCAGTTTAAATAAGTGAGAGAAATGCCCTGTGAAAGGAGCCAACTAGAAAGGGCTGTGCAAGACTTTCTGTTCAGGAACCTAAATGGTTGAACAGATAAAACATGAAATAAAATACAACTATTTATTACACAGTGCACAAAAAACTGAGATTAAAAACAACACACATAAAAGCTCAGAACATAGCATACAGTAACAATTGTAAATTGCATGTATAATAACTACTAGATCTCAGTAATGGTTACACGTATATAATAATCACAGGACCAAACATGTTTTGGCCCAGGGGCCTAAATTGCACTAAGACACACATAAAAATGTAAATATAAAAAAATATCTTTTTCAGGCCAAGCAGGTTGTATGTGAGTCCTAAAAAAATATTAAAAAATAGACCACTGAAGAAGGCCCTCTGATAGGGTTGCCAGGTCTAACTGGCTGCTGGTGGGGGAGAGGTCCAGTCCTCTCCTGGGAGTCTTCTTACGTGTGGGCAAAGCACCCAGAGATGATGTCATCGCGTAGGGCACATCGGGTGGGATACTCTAGCATTTGGGGGGGGAAACTATGGTCACCAGTTTGGTGTAGTGGTTAAGTGCGTGGACTCTAATCTGGGAGAACTGGGTTTGATTTCCCACTCTTCCACTTGCAGCTGCTAGATGACCTTGAGCAAGCCATAGTTCTGTCAGAATCGTTCTCTTAAGGACAGCTCTGGAAAGAATTCTCTCAGCCCCACCTACCTCACAGGGTGTCTGTTGTGGGGAGGGGAAGGGAAAGGAGTTTGTAAGCCGCTCTGAGACTCTGAGTGAAGGGCGGGGTATAAATCCAGTCTCCTCCTCCTCCTCTTCTTCTAGCGTGTCCCCTGTGCGACATGCCTGGCACAATGACGTTATCTCTGGGTGATGTCATTGCGGCGGGAACATTGGGCGGGACAGGGCTTTTCAGGGGTGGGGCTCCCTCACTAGCCAGCTGGCCGGTGGAGGATTGGGCCCCCCGAAATCAGAGGAAACCTTGCCCCCATTGGGGGGATTGCAACCCTACCCTCTGGGCCAAAACACATTTGGTCCTGTGGTTATTATATATGTGTAACTATTTCTGAGATACAGTAGTTATTGTATGTGCAGCTTATACTTGTTACTGTATGCTATGTTCTGAGCGTTTATTTGCATTCTATGTATGTTGTTTTTAATCTCAAGTTTTTGTGCACTGTGTAATAAATAGTTGTATTTTATTTCATTTTTTTAGCTGCTCAACCTTTTAGGTTCCTGGCTTGATTTCCGGGTTGGAGATTTCCCCTCCCTTTTGTTGTTTCCTAGGACTTTCTGTTGCCATAGGTAACTATTTGGAACAGAATGAATTGTGGGGGCTGGGGAAGCAGATATGATAGATATAGACAGATAATGTTTATTCAAATTGCCAGATTTGGCTTTTATTGATACGGAAATAGAGGTACCGTGATGCAGAATTTGTATTCTGGATTGCAGAATGTGAGCAAATTTGTCAGAAACCAGAGGAAATGTCAGGATTGCTTCTGTCACTTGATTCTGTGAGTTTTCTGTATAAGAAAAAAATGTGTTGTAGAATTCTCAGTCCAAGAGTACTTTTGTATCACCTGTGCCTTTCTGGGTAGTAACTAATATTAATGTTCTGGGTTCTTCTGAGGCAGAAAGTCATGTTGTGAATCCTAGATGAGATTACTGCATGATTTTTTTTAGCTTTATTTAGAATGTTTGTTTCTATTTAGCAGAGCTTAAGCATATGTTTAGTTCTTATTTTGTTTGGTGGATTTACATAAGCATAAACTCTTCTCAAAAACATTGAATGGATTTAAGCATACATCTAAGTACTTAAATTGGAATTTAAATCCCAAAGCAGAGACAGGAGAAATCTAATACCTGTACATTGTGTTGACATTTGCTTTGCAATCCTATGAACTGAATCAATGAATTTCATACCTATAGTCCAAAGAGTTGAAAATTATGTATTTATTATTTTCAGTGTGATAGTAGTTACATAACAGAATAACTTCAAAGTATTACTGAGAGAGTGTGGTATAAATATTTTACATGTCAAAATGCATTAAGTAGAATTTGGAGAAACAAAATGGTTCCCAATTGACCAAGATGTCAGATAAGGATATATTTTATCTCCCTATCTCTTCAATCCATATATGAACATATCATAAGGAACGCTGGGTTAGATTTAGATGAATGTGGAGTGAAAATTGGTGGAAGGAACATTAACAATTTGAGATATGCAGATGACACCACATTACTAGCAGAAAATACATAGTGAAGGCTTGAAATGACTACTGATGAAGGTTAAAGCAGAAAGTGCCAGAGCTCCTGCTGATCATCAAGAAGACAAAGTAATGACTTCTGGGGAATTACACTAAGATTGATTATGAAGAAATCAAAATTGTTAAAGATTTTTTGTTCCTTGGCTCCATCATCAACCAAAAGGGAGACTGCAACCAAGAAATCAGAAGGAGGCTGAGACTGGGAAAGGCAGCCATGAAGAAGCTAGAAAATATATTTGATCAAGACAAATATAATTCATGCCATAATATTCCCTGTTATTATGTATGGGTGTGAAAGTTGGACAGTGAAGAAAGGTGATGGGAAAAAAGTTGATTCATTGGAAATGTGGTGTTGGAGGAGAGTTTTACAGTTACCATGAGGCACAAAAAAGACAAATAATTGGTTTCCAGATCAAATCCAGCTTGAAATTTCCCCCAAAGCTAAAATGACTAAACTGAGGCTTTGTACTTTGGTCACATGATGAGAAGACAAGACTCACTGGAAAGGCAATAATGCTAGGAAAAGTTGAAGGCAGCAGGAAGAGAAGACCCAGCATGTGATGGATTGACTCAATAAAGGAAGACACAGCCCTCAATTCGCAAGATGTGAGCAAGGCTGTTAATGATAGGACACTTTGGAGGTCATTAATTCATAGGGTCACCATAAATTGGAAGTGATTTGACAGCACCTAGTGCATATACAGAGAGAGAATAAAATGCAAAATCGATTCCAAGGCTTGGAAGACAAATACATTGACTTTTATACTCTAGGGCCCTTTTCTCAGAGAAATACATTCAATGCATAATATTTGCGGGTGTTCTGTTATTTGTCTTTCATGTTTGCTGTGCTCATCTGTCTGATTTCTTTCCGTCCAGCACATTCTTCCCTTAGCACAGCAAAGCAAAACAAACAACTAGCAGCTTGTCAATCACATAATGACTAAACCATTTCCTCCTCATCCCCTTTTCTCCCTGCTCAAAGAAAACACAAGATGTATGGAAAGATTATAACAGATTAAAATTAATTATTTTTGTTTAAACAGATATCATGTGATCATATGAACACAAAAGACCTGTCAGAAACCCTTGGTAGCCTAAAGAGGCCATGGTCAGTCTGCCTGGATGACAGATTAAATTTGGTTCATCAAATGAAAACCAAGCAGTGCCGTTTATATTCACTGGGGTAAGTGTCTCCTTTGGGGAAAAGACATCATTTCAAGTGCAACAGTCATGAATGTTCTACTCTTAAAGCTGTCTGTTAAAAATAGTTTCTGCTATTGATCTATCTCTTTCCAAAAGAAGCTTTATAAATCTTTTCTCTGTCATCCATTGACAGAATGTAGAGTGACATAGCCTACATTTTTGGAAGATCTGCAAGTCTTGTCTTGTATTTAGCAATTAAGAAATCACTGAGTGTTTGACAATATCTCCAATTTTTGGAAAATCAAGGATCTTTTGAAAATTCTCCAAGTGAACACGTGAAACTGCCTTGTAGTGAATCAGACCACTGGTCCATCAATGGTTAGTATTGTCTACTCAGACTAGCAACAGCTCTACAGGTTCTCAGGCAGAGGTCTTTCATATCACCTACTGCCTGATCCTTTTAAACGGAGATGCCAGGGATTGAAACCCCTACATGCAAAGCAGAGGTTCTTCCACTGAGCTGCAGCCTCCTCCCAGAATGTAATTGTCATAGTACCTCTCTTTTATTTTTTGTGGTTAAGAACATAAGAACATAAGAGAAGCCAATGTTGGATCAGGCCAGTGGCCCATCCAGTCCAACACTGGTTCACACAGTGGCCAAAAATACCAGGTGCCATCAGGAGGTCCACCAGTGGGGCCAGGACAATAGAAGCCTTCCCACTGTTGCCCCCCACCCAAGCACCAAGAATACAGTGCATCACTTCCTATCTATACCTTGTGGTTGATAGCCACTGATAGACCTCTGCTCCATATGTTTATCCAGTTCCCTCTTGAAGCTGTCCATGCTTGTAGCCTCCACCACTTCCTGTGGCAGTGAATTCCATGTGTTAATCACTCTTTGGGTGAAGAAGTATTTCCTTTTATCTGTTCTAACCCGACTGCTCAGCAATTTCATTGAGTGCCCACGAGTTCTAACCCGACTGCTCAGCAATTTCATGGTTAGGTGTGATGTAGTTTTAAATTTCTTGTTGTTTCTTTCTCCAGTGGTTCCTTGTGGGACAGTCCTCTACGAATGGGATAAGCTCCTCCCTCCATCGCAGGGTCGGCTCTGAGCTTTGATCTGGGCAGGGAGGGGCCTATCCCCTGGAGGCTTCCCCAGTTCTAGCTGGCCCTGCATTAAAGCAGGACATGCCTGGGCAGCGCTGCATAGCGCAACCTAAAGAAAATAGAAAAAACGAAGAAGGAAGATCCAGGAAGGAGACGGTGGAGCCGCGTCCCCAGTGTGTGCGGCAGACGGAGGAGCTTCACAAGGGCAGAGCGGCCCCTGAGCAGCCTACCTCTGGCCTTACCTGCCTACAGGTAGAGGGCCTGCTCCCTGAAGACCTGCGGAGTGCGGAGGGGTCTGCACATGGTCGGAGGGACTTCGCTGGAATCTAGCCCCCCAGATCGCGCGTAGCCACGGGGAGAGAGAAACACGCTACTGAACAGTGATAAGACTCGGTGTTTCTCCTAAAGGCCTCCTTACTCCCGAGTTGTCTGGGACGGGAGAGCTGCGAGACCCCCCATGCCCTTCTCAGCCTTTTCCAGGGGACTTGGGTGAAAGGAGGGGAAGGGGGGAAATGATAGATCAGGACCCCACACCCTGCCTTTTCCTCTTGGAACTTGGAGGGGGTGAAGGCCCCCCCAAGCCACTTGGTGCAAAATTTAGGCGGGAAAATAGGGTGGCAGCCATCTTGGTTTCACTTTCGGCACCGGCCTGGAATGGTGGGGGGGTGAAGGCCGGATTAATTAGCCATGAATGGCCCAAGCTGACCTGATCTTGGCAGAGCTCGAGAATGGGCAGGGTCCACTCCGGTGACAACTTGGGTGGAAGACCACCAAGGAAGTCCGGGGCTGGTTCTCAGAGGCAGGCAGGGGATTCCACCTACAAAGGCGAGTAGTTGGAGGGGAACAAATCCAGATTTAGGAGACTGAGACAGGCTATTATGAGCCTATCCCATCCTTGCCTCTCCCTAAGGTGGTCTTTATTCTCATTTTCCACCCTACAGGCCGAGGGACATGGCCGACAAAGCCAGTCCAGGCGGTTCCCAAGATAACGACAGTTCCATGGGGGAAGTGAGTTTGCCTATATTATCAGTTTCCCTGGCCTCACAGGATCTTCCAGACCTTAGAGAATCTGATAAGGCTGATCTCATGGACAGGTTCAAAGGGGAGATGAGAAAGGAGTTCAGAGCAATGCTCAAAGAAACTTTTCAAACTCCAACAGCTGACCAGACCCTCAGAGAAAGGGGTATGGCCTCTAAGAGAGGTAGTTCCAGACTGGAAGAGGACTCCTCCAGTGCATCCAGGTCTCCAAAACAAGAAAAGCACAAGCCTCCTGCCAGAGACCGCAGTCCCCTGCTAGGGGACAGGGAGGTTGAGTCAGAAGCTTCCAATTCATCCTCGGAAAGAGAAGAAGGGAAACTTTCCGAGGAGGAGGAGGAAGCAGTACCCTCAGTCCAGTCCAGGCTCTTTCCGCAAGAGCTCTATTCTCGTCTACTACCTAAGGTTTTAAGAACCCTGGACCTCACTGCTAAACCTAAAGAACAGGTTGAGCAGGTGTCAGAATTCCAATCAGGTATGGGCAAACTGATGCCCAAACTTTCAGTTTCCCAACCTGGGTTGCCTCATCCAGCTTCCTTTTATAATATAATGAAAATGGAATGGGAGCAACCAGCTAAGCCCAAGGCTAATCACCATCTATTCTCCAAACTCTGTTCTCTGATGCCTGAGGTGGCCAAGAAGTTCCAGTGGTGGATGATCCAGTCTCCAACCTGTACTCCACCTCAGTGTTGCCCATGGACACCGATGGCATGCCCAAAGACCACAATGATAGGAGGATAGAGCAGGCCCTCCAAAAGAATTTTGAGGCGTCCTCTTCATCAATCAAAGCATTCACAGCAGGGTCACTGTTTGCGAGGGCCGCATATGACTGGGCTCAGAATTTGGCCACAGCAGAGTACCCAAGGAGCTTAAGGATGAGATTAAAAAGATCACTCTAGCAGTGGCTTTCGTGGTGGATGCCACGTTGGACGCCATGCAACTGTCTGCCAGGGTGCTGGCAAGTAGCATGACAGCGAGAAGGAATAATTGGCTCCGTCACTGGGATGTGGCTTCCTCAGCTCAGGCGAAGGTGGTGACGGTCCCCTTCAAGGGCGGCAGCCTCTTTGGAGAAGGAATGGACAAATACCTCATAGAGGATAAGGACAAAAAAAAAGTCCTCCCCTCGAAAAAGAGAGAATTGAAATCTCGGAATGCTTTCAGCCCTTTCGGGATCAAAAGAAGGGATAGAAGACCTCCTATGCCAGGTCCTTTAAAAGCAAGTGGCAGTCTAGACAGCACAGTAATAAACTCTTCGCCTCCAGTAAGGGAGATCAGTCCTCTTCCAAGGTTCCCAAGAAGGGAACCTCAGCATGACTATGCGTGCTCAGACAAACTGTCGGGGATAGGGGGAAGACTTCTAGCTTTCGCAGACCGCTGGCACCAGTCAGTGTCCGACCAGTGGGTCCTCGAGATTGTGACCCATGGATACCAACTAGAGTTCTCCATCTTTCCCCAACAGCGTTTTGTCCAGATACCGAAACATCGAAACCATACCAAACACAGTCATACTGTGAAAGCCATTCAGCACCTGCTGGCAATCACAGCCATAGAGAGAGTCCCGCCCTCCCAGCAGGGGCATGGCATCTACTCTGTGTTCTTTATCATGCCCCCCAAAAAACGGAGACACACGGGCCATCCTAGATCTCAAATGGCTCAACAGGCATATCCAGGACAGGAAGTTCAGGATGGAAACCATCAAGTCCATACTGACAGCTATCCAAAAAGGAGACTTCCTCTCCTTGATAGATTTGTCGGAGGCCTATCTCCACATTCCCATTCACAATCATCACAGGAAGTTCCTGAGGTTCGTTTATGCCAACCAACACTTCCAATATCGGGCACTCCCCTTCGGTCTGAAATCATCGCTGAGGGTATTCACAAAATTGCTTATGACCCTGAATGCACACCTTTGGCTGAAGGGGGTGCAACTTTTTCCGTACTTAGATGACATTCTAATAAAGTTTGAGGAGTGCTGTCAATCATCTCAACTCACCATGGGTACTCTGAAGAACCACGGATTTGTGATCAACCTGGAGAAGAGTCACCTTCAACCCACACAGAGGTTACTTCATCTGGGAGTGGAAATCAACACCTCCCAAGATCGGGCCTTCCTCTCTCAGGACCGGGAGCTGAGGGTTCGGTCCCTGTTGTTGGAAGTTATACAGAACCCCAAGTCAGAGTTGATGATGCTAGTCAAACTCTTGGGAATGCTGGTATCATGCCAGGACATAGTGCAGTGGGCGTGCATCCATACGAGACCTCTACAAAGGTTTCTCCTACCATACCAGGGAGCAATAGCTCAACGGAGATTCAAAATGTTACAGCTCCCAGCCGTAATACGTCAGCAGTTGTCCTGGTGGATGACACCCCTCAGGTTCAGTCATGGGTCCCCTCTCTGAGACCCACCGAGACTTGTAATGACGACAGATTGCAATCTATCAGGCTGGGGAGCTCACTCAATGGGTCAAATGACCCAAGGAGAGTGATCAATACAGGAAGCTCAAGAGAGTATCAACTTCCTGGAACTCAGGGCAATTCGCCTGGGCCTTCTGAGCCTTCACAAACATCTGGGGGGCCATCACGTTCCTGTCCAGATGGACAATACAATGGCAAAGGCCTATGTGAATCATCAGGGCGGGACTCGAGTCCGGTGTCTTCACCATAAACAGTTGTTGTGCCTGTTCCTTAGTGGAATTTTTATTGAGTATTTTTTGGGGGGTTTTAATTGATTTTGAGACCTGCAATTCTTCCCAATTCTTGCAGTGTATTTAAGAGGTGTATAATAGAAGTTTGTGGTTCTTCCAGAATGTAAACCAGGTCATCTGCAAAAACTTGTACTTTAAATTCCTCTCCTCTTACCTTGAGTTCTTTAATCTGTTTATTTTCTCGAAGTCATTT